TTTCCTATCTTCCCCCAAATATAATCCTGTCATCCCTGTCTCTTATACACATCTAGATGTGTATAAGAGACAGGTGGGTGGGGTTGGCGAGGTTGGGGCGGGGGCGGGGGCGGGGGTGAATGCCAGGGTGCAGGGATCACTTGTCCCCTTTGCGGGGGTTCAAGGGTAAAACCCCCACCCCGGTTCGGGCCCCGGGGATCCCCGGATCACAATAGTCATCATAATAAATTTTGACGTAATGTGATGTCTGCTCAATGCCTAGGATACCCAGGTGAGGGGGTATGATTAAATGTGTAGACAGGAAGGAACTCGATAGATATGACTCTCTTGAGGTAGTCAAATATCTAATCATTTAATTTATGACAAGTATGAATAGGTTAACAAGTTTCTATCATTTTTATCAATCATTCGACCATCCTTTAAATGTTGATATTTGTTTTTATCTAGGTAGCACGAGTTATATGGCCGGATAATCTGGTCGGATTATGTTGCCGGATTATAAGGGGGTAGGATTATCCAAAAATATGAATGATTAAAAACATGCTAGGTTACGAATGGTCCCGAGACCAGACGTCTCCTTGGGACGTCTCCTCCGGACATCCGTGGTCCGGGTCGTCCGGGTTTCCGGACGACAGTTTTGGCGCAAGAAAAAACTCAAAAAAAAAAAAAAGGGTTGTCTTGCGCTGGTTTAGGGCCCCGACCACACCAAATTCCATGTGAAACATAACATTTTTGTGAAATATCTGGTGGGGGGGGGGGTAGGGGGTGACAAAGGACTTGCCTGCTATGTTTGCTACTGCCATCTGCATCTGTAGCACTTGCACCATGTGTAGCAGTTCCTTAAGGTGCAGCAGATTCTGCATGCGAGGGTTTGTTGGTTTAGGTAGGTGAAGGTGTGAAACATATCATACCTGCTACCTGCAACTCCACCACCTGTTGCATGTCATGTCTGCACAAACATACAACAAGTGACATATATGCAGACGTACCTTTTGCCTGCAATAAGTACCACCTGCTTCAGGTTATCTCAGACAGACACAAAAAGAGAGTCAGCCACACACACACACGCACACACACCGCCGCTCAGCGAGTCACACGCAAACACACATGCACACACACACACACACACACA